AGTAACTTCGGTATAGAAACCTGTTAAATATTCACCAAAATTCCAAAATCTAACAGCACAGAAACTCAATATTTCATATTAAGTTGCAACTGACACAAATGAAATAAGCACCATGCTATGTTATATCACCATATTATTCACTATTAAATAGAATTTTTAAGACAATAACTAAAATTAAGTTGGGGCTATAACTGCTGTGAAAAAAATAATTCATATAACAGTCATAAGACTGTCATTCTTAGAAAAGCCTGCATGCAAAATTGGCCCTTGGCTGCTGTTTGGAAATTTGCATTTTAAAGGTTTGTCACCATTTCCTAACTGAGAAAAGTAGCTCACTGTGCCTAAACTGTTTGCATAAACAATGTGGTTGACTCTGAGCAGCTGCTTTTCTTGTGGAAGTGTGGAATTCTTGTACCTGTGTGAGAGAGAATGCCTATGTAACGAGCTTCCATAAAAACCTTGGCTACTGTGTCAGTCTCTAGTCAGACTCATACTGGTAGACACCACCGCCTATGTGCTGTCAAAATTCCAGGCTACAGGAATTCGGCACATCCTGGTAACTCCACAGCAGAGGGCTCCTGGAAGCTTGTGCCTGGCTTCCCCAAGACTTGCCACATGCCCCTTTGCCCTGAGCCAATTTTACTTTGTATTCTTTCACTGAAACAAATCAAAGCCCTGAGTAGGACTGTTTGCTGAGTCCTTCCAAGTGAATCACTAAACACAGAGGTGGTCTTGGGAAACCCTGACACTACTGCATTATATGAAATGAGTTTTCTTTTAGGTGATGTGACATGTGACTACAATCGGAAGGCTGTTTATAAAATAGCTTTCCCTAATCTGTTTTCCTTGACAGTTGACTTTGAGATTCCTGTATTTCCACATGAATAAATCCATAAAGGAATAGAAATAAATTATGCCAAAAAAAATGAAAAACAAGCAGCAATCTTATTTTAACCAGAATAAAAAATTGAGAATATGGATGATTAAAAATGTATTCCATAGTATGAAAGCTTCTAGAAGAGAAACAAAAAGATCACCGTCAATTGTCTTCAACTCAGCAAGGTTTCTTTTGTAATTATTGGGGATCAGGCCAGGTGCAATGACACGCACCCGTAGTCCCAACTACTCCAACGGCTGAGGCAGGAAGATTGCTTGAGACCAAAAGTTCGAGGCTGCAGTGGAGATTGTACCTGTGAATAACCACTGCACTCCAGCCTGGCAAACAGAGGGAGACCCTGTTTCTAAAATGTATCAGTAGGCTGGGGACGGTGGCTCACACCTGTAATCTAAGCACTTTGGGAGGCTGGGGCAGGCGGATCATGAGGTCAGGAAATGGAGACCATCCTGGCTAACAGGGTGAAACCCCATCTCTACTAAAAATATAAAAATTAGCTGGGCGTGGTGGCGCACACCTATAGTCCCAGCTACTTGGGAGGCTGAGGCAGGAGAAGCACTTGAACCCAGGAGGCAGAGGTTATAGTGAGCTGAGATCATACCACTGCACTCCAGCCTGGGCAAGAGAGCGAGACTCAGTCTCAAAAAAAATCTATTAGTAAAAACATACATAAAATAATTTGCATCATTCAGGTCATTGTGATAATTATAGAAATATATGTAGCCATTGGATATAGTATAATACTGTACTATTGATCATAGAGCTCATTTAATTTGTTTCTAATTTTTTTTCTTAAGTTCTTACAAAACTAAAAATATCTAAAACTAAAAACCATCTGTTAAAGGCAATTCTTCACAGAACAGGTCAAAAAGTCAAAAACTGCATTTAAAATGTAGGATGAGTTATCCACTTCTCCTCCCAAACAGTGGATTTTTCTTATTAAGGGTCAATAGGACTTTAATATTATCTGGGGGAATAAAGGAAGTTACGGACCAGCACAATGACTCGTGACTATAATTCCAGCACTTTGGGAGGCTGAGGCAGGAGGATCACTTGAAAGCAAAAGTTTGAGACTGGCCTGGGCAACAGAGAGATATCCTTGTCTCTAAAAAGCAAAAAATACAAAAGTTAGCTTCGTATGGTGGCATATGCTTGTAGCAGTCTCAGTGAGTTAGGAGGCTGAGTTAGGAGGGTCACTTCAACCCAGAAGTTTGAGGCTGCAGTGAGCTATGATCACACTATTGCACTCCAGCCTGGGGAACAGCAAAAGACTCAATCTCAAAAAAAAAAAAAAATCAAGAAAGTTTTATATAGATGGTTAAAGGTGTGGTAATCCAACTGACCAAATATTCCAGCTAAGTAACAGATTAGCAATATTTGAAGAAATATAATACCAGAAAAGTGTTTTACATTAAAACTATGTCAAGTTTGAAAATTTATTATTATTATTATTATACTTTGAGTTCTAGGGTACATGTGCATAACGTGCAGGTTTGTTACATATGTATACTTGTGCCATGTTGGTGTGCTGCAGCCATCAACTCGTCAGCACCCATCAACTCGTCATTTACATCAGGTATAACTCGCAATGCAATTAATGCCCTGAGCATGGAAGAGATCCCCAAGAGCGAGCATAGGGAGAGAAGCAGCAGCCCACCACAGACTGAACTCTGGGACCTTCCAATGTTAAGAAGTGATGGAGTACAAGATAAACCAGTAAAGAAGACTGAGAAATGAAAAACAGTGAGGTGGTGTTTAATATTGTACAATTAAATAAACGGTGGTTCCTGTCTTTGTTATCTTCAAAAAAAAAAAAAAGAAAATTTAAAAGACAACTTAAGTGTCTTAACTTAATTTGAAAATTTAAAAGACATTTAAAGTTTGAAAATTTAAAAGAAACTTAAAATCTTAAAGAACCATCATCACTTACACTGTCATTGTGCTAAAGATATAAAGAAGTTTAGCATTAAAGATTAATAGAATACCAGATATACTTGAGAATAAGTAGCTAATTCTCTTAAAAGAAAATTATATATAGTTGTCAAAAATACCTATGTTAGAAATGTGTTCTAATAATATTTTCTTTAGGGATGAAATTCAAATGTGTTCTAATAATATTTTCTTTAGGGATGTGTTCTAATATTATTTTCTTTAGGGATGAAATTCAAAAGAAAACAGTAAAAGCTGAGCTATTAGAAGAGGTCATGAAAAGGGAATTGCACTGAAACAAAGTGTGCCAGAACACAGAGACTTGGTATATTTAGCACATCACCTTATATTTTTCTCCATGACATTAGATAAAAGATGTTAGCTTCTCCAAACTGCTCGTCTGTAAACGACTTCTGATTGAAACTCGAAACTCTCGAAATGTGGCTGTGTTATGATTCCATGTCGGAGGGAGTCTGGATGTGTGTGCTTTGGACAAGCTGGGTCCAGTTACTGCTGCCAGACTTTTGTTTCAGAAAGGATCCAGAAGAACTTATCAGGGATTTCAGTACAAATTAAGTATTTCCACAAGGAGCTGATAAGAAGACCACAGTTTTTCTCACACATTACCCTTAGGTTTTGACAATTCAGTAAAAGTGTGGACACATGTACTCAGAAGTCAAGACCATTTTCCCTGACCCTGTGCATGTAGCTTCTGCAGTTACAAAAGAGTTAGGCGGGATCTTGGTAGATTTATTCCTCCATATTTGGACACCAGACATACCAATCACATCAGTGGCCCACATTACACCTCAAAAATGGTTCTATTGAAAGGGGCACCGCCAAAGAGCTTTTAAAAGTTCAATCTAATTGACTTTTTAGTAATCTTACTTGTTAGAATTCATACTCCCTCCTTGAAGTTCTCACATTTTTTATTTTTGCAACATCACTTCCTCTGACTCCTCTCCTACTTTTCTCTAGCCACTGCTTTCTCCTTTAGCAATTCTTTTTTTTCTGGGGGCGGGAGGGAATGTTAACATTCCTAGGGTTTTGTCACTGGATGCCTTCTCATTCTACATCTGCATCATGGACAGCTCATTGAGATTGCTGACTTTGCCTAATAATTATAATAACATCATTCTACGTCTGCAAGTCCAACCTCAGAGTTGGAGGGAAGGGAAGTTATTCTTCCCTATTGACCAGCTGTACTTCTCCATTCACTGAACACATCCTACTCCTTTCTCATGTGAAGTATAAAGGCTGGTACACAACCTGGAAACGTATGAATGATCCAAGATTTCTCTCTCCCCACTAATGTTTTACATTCAGTAAATCATATTAACTGTACCTCTTTTCTGTTTCTGCTTTATATTTCTACTGCCACCAAATAAATATGTTTATATTTCCTAGATCAAGATGGTCTCTTCACTGATGGTTTTCACAGGAAAAAAAACCCCTACCAACTCTTATTGTTTTTTTATAAATAAAAAATTAAATAAAACAAAGAAGTCCTGGCAAGAAAAAGACCAACATTTTAAAATGAGTAAATGGAGTAAATTTACTTTATTTTACCATGAATGGGTGAATACCTTACACTAGACTGATAGTAGTTTAAGGACTAAACTACAAGGAAACTACAGCTTTAACTACTGCAAAAGCTTCTTTTCTCTAGCTTACTTTCTTGTACTCAGAATACAATATGTTTAATACATATAACATACCAAATATGTATTTTCAACAGCATGGGGATTGGCAGCACTAAATCCCATGTTGTTGAAGGGTCAACTGTAATTATTGATTCAGTTACTAACTGCAAAGAATTTATTTTACAAATTAAATAGAAGTTCTAATTATATAAAAAGTCTAATTCATTATAACGTGACTATAAAGAAAACATATAACATAATAACAAAAATTTTCTTATTTACACAAAAAGATCATCTAGACTATTAGGAACCATAATTAAACAATAATTTTTTTCAAACAATACTGAGAGTATAAACTACCTACAATTAACTTTTTAAATAATTATAAAATCTAGACTACTAAGAAAGTATTTTTTTAAAGTGTGCAATTTAAAGAGTGATTTTTTAAAACTGCTTTTTTGTAACCAGAACATCTTTATTCTTTTTTATCCATGGTAGTACCATCAGGAGTAATTCACTATCAGAAATCTTACCTGGATTGCTATTTATAGGGAGCTCTTCAGATGTCTTTTCTCTTTTGTATTCAGAAATTAGTCCGAAAATGCTATGTATAAAAACAAATGAGATTAATATTTTAATACTATTATCAAAAACATTTACCAAATATACTAAATTATTAGAGTATCTTAAACAATATCAGGATGTTAATTATCCTATACACTTCTCTTCTATAAGCTCTACAAACTTCTTAGTACCTTTCTAATTAAATAATAAAAACAGGTGAAGTACTCATGAAGCGAGCGCAGCAAACTATCTCACATCGGCCTGACATAATGAAAAGTCACCTTCCTGGCTCTTACTGGTAGGTCCTGGCTCTATAGCCAACAGGTAGGTATTTGCTCTTATAAGTTGCTTCTCTTAGGCGCCATGTCTTCTTTTAGATTTTACTGACTTCTTTCACTAGGTTGTTATATAGGTTTAATGAAGTAGCATTTTTAACATTCACAGAGAAATAGTAAAGCAGTGGAATTTGCTCTTGAACTTTATTGCTGAAACTATTCTGAAATCCCAAATCAAACCCAATGTGTAGTTTTTCATAGGTTCTAATATTCAAATGCTTCTGTTTAAGAAAAATGTTAAGTCCTAATTTTGCTTTATTGTTCTATTATTTGTGGCTTATAATTAAGGGCATCTCAACCATTTCATAATTTGTAAATAAACTTACTTATGAATACATTATTTCATTAAAATAGGTAACACGATTGTTCACTATTATTGAGCTCATCAGTTCCAAGGGCAGAAAATTAACAGATGTCAAGATCTGGCTTGAGCTACCACTATTACTTCTCTACAGACTCTAACTGAACATCAGATGTTTGCTAGAATGATGGTTAATCTCCATCAGTGATGTTATCTCCAACTGACATGGAAGACAAAACCCTACTTTCATGTTTTTTAAGTTCCATGAAGTAGATAAAAATTGACATTTTCTCATTTCCAAGATACATACTAACAAGATATTTACACAACACCCCATGTGTTACTTACCTCCATTCTCAGTTTATAGATCACCTTACACAAATATTTTTGTAGTGAAAAATCACAATTCTAATATAAGGTGCCACCCATTTTGTTTTGATTCAAACTGTTACTTAGCCAGCAGTCATGTGACCTTCCCGTGACTGCAAGATTATGAAATGCTTCACCATGCTAATTTTCTCTGTATTGTTCCAATTTTAGTATTTGTGCTGCCAAAGCAAGCACAAAGCCTTACTTTTACATATAAATGCTGATAAGTCATGGATGAGGCTTAGCTCTGTTAAATCTAACTAAGCAACTTGAGACTCAAATAATTCTGATGAATGGCTTCCTATGAGGTAGAATCTTAAAAACTTGAGATAGTGATGCAAGCAGCTTGAGAGATCTTCATTATTAAAGAAAACAGATCACTTAAGGGGCCAACCACAAGTGGATGCCTACTACTCTAAAGAAGGATGGCATAGAAGCTTCCACTACCTGAGAAAAGCTCTTACACTGTTTATTTAAAAAGTGTCAGGGTACAGATCTGGTAGCAATAAAGAAAAAAACCGTGATCTCTTTCTACAACATTATTTGAATATCTCTGACAGCTTAGAACTATCCCAACTAATATTTGCTTTAAAGAGGAAAAAAAAAAAAAGGGACTCAAAAATAACTCACCATGAAGGTCTAGAAGCCCAGGCTAAAATGTGGGCTTTACATCAGGTTTTGAGCATGGGTGAAAGTGTCAATTTGCTCAGTATGTGTGCTGATAAAGTCAGAATATCCAGCCAACAGAGCAAGGTTCTGCTGTTTTGGAAACAATGAGCATATAAGTATGTGCAAGTGAACTAAAAAAAAGTATGTGTAACTTTGAAGCCTTTTTATGGATCAACATGAAGATTGGTGGCAATGGTTAATCATTACCAGACTACAAGGGTACTTTCAATGGCAAAAAAGCAGCAACGGAATCAATGAAAACAAAGCAATGATTAGAATGTCCTTTCCCCTTCTCCTTCTGACTTGTAGAAACTCATTGTCTTCCTTGAACTTAAGGAACCCCATAGGTTCTTGAAAAATTCAAGGATCAGGCTATAGCAGATGGTCCCCAGTAAACAGCACAAGGTTTTTTGATAAGCTGGACATTTTGAGACCCAAATAACTAATTAGAAAAATCAAAGATGTGAAACTACTTTATCCTATGCATAGGGGTTATACTTGAAATAAAATCAACAACATTGGAATCCCTAAGGAGAAAAGTCCTAAAAGTTTCAATATCAAGAATCCTGCACCTACTGCGACTTATCTAGTCTTTTGCTTGATTTCTGGCTGACGAAGTTGCACAACTCTTGAAAACTTAAAAACTTGAAAATCTGTCACTTGAAAACTACTTGAACCAAATTATGAAATCTCACCTGACATATAAGATGCAGTTGTTACAATTATTTTAAACTTCAATTTAGTGTTCACTAGCCTTTTTATGTAAAGACTTACACTTTATTCTGAGTCTCAATCGCATAATCTTCTGCAGTCTTTCCATATGCATCTCGAAAAAACACATCAATATTGTGCTGCTTCAGAAGAAGAATGACTATATCTATTTCTCCAAGAGTAACAGCAAGTATGAGGGCTGATCTAAAATAACAGAGAGGTAATTAAAAACTTTAATGACATTTTAAAAGCTAAGTTTAAATACTTTATCAACTTAATATGTTGCCTGTCCATGCAGAATTAACCCAATTACATGTACTAAGAAACAAGCATCTTGGGTGCTCAAGGGTTTATCTTTGTAAATTACCACAAAGGTTAAAAGCAAGGAACAAATAGGAAGCCTCTTGTCCCACTGTGGTATGACATAAAGTTGCTAACTTAAAGTCCTTTGATGGGCAAGAAACTATGCTCAGGTCACCTATCTACAGTAGGAAAATTTAAGTAAAAAATTATTCATTTCTTCCCTAGTCTGATATTATATATTATAATGCAAAATCAGCTAAGGGGTCAGATAAGAGCTATCTGCAGGCTTGAAACAATAATATTAATAGGAATGCTAATAGTAGTCATAACTTCAGTTAATGATGCTGATAAGCATGTGCTAGGCATTAAACACCATATATATATATATATATATATATATATGTGGAGGATAATAATGTATCCTTCAAGGGTGGTTGTATAAGTAACATCATATATGTAATATATATTTTATGTATATATATTATATATACACAATATATATATTTATATATACAAAAAATATATATTTTATATATTTTATATATATAAAATAAATATTGTATATTATATATTATACATTATGTTATGTTGCTTACATTATATACTTACACATTATAATGTGTGTATATATAATATATATTATATATTATATTCACATATGTGTATGTGTATACATATGTGTGTGTATAAAATATATATATATACACACACACACATATATATATAAGCACATACTTATATGCTCAGCCGTTGTTTCCAAAACATCAGCACTTTGCTCTGTTAGCAGGACATTCTAACATTATGTATATATGATGTTATTTACACACAACCACCCTTGAAGGATATATTATTACCCTTCTTTTCACAGAAGAAAACATACTTGGTGATAAGTAATGTTACCAAGGTCACACATCTAGCAAGTGGGAAAGCTAGGGATTAAACCCAGTCCTGTCTGAATCTAAAGCTTGTCTTCATTAAAGTTTTATCAACTTAAAGCTATCTTTTCTCCCTCTTCCCATATCAATTAAAAACAACATCAAAACACAGCAGAAATGAAAAACTAACATGAAACCCCTATAGCTAATGTAAGATCATACAATCAAAAGCATCACATTATTACATTATAAATAACACCACATCATATTACAAATAACAAACATCTGTTAATATAGAAGCCTTTTATGTGTATAATGTCTATAGAGATGAATCCTGCTATACACTGTTCTTTATGTTACTCAGTCCAAATAATCGTTTTTCTACCTAAGTGATGATCTGTGTTGATATTTCTCACTATATCCCAATAATTAAAAGTTAGTCTTCTTATTAATGTAATATTTCTGACTTGAGTGACTGCCACCACTCTAAAATGACACTCAGGTTTAAAAACAACACAATAAGAACTAAGGTCTGTACCTGTTAAGAGAATCAACTGCATTTACATTTGCATTTTTCTTTAATAAAAATTCCACCATGTTCACTTTTGCTCGACTCACAGCAAGTAAAAGTGGTTGATATTCACACTGTAAAACAACAGCAACAATTTATAATCACAAAATTACATATTTACCAACTGAACTGAAAACCTTACGTAAGATTCTATGAGCTTGAATATATACAATTGAAAGGACATAAGAGGTGGTCCCTTTCTTTTCACTCCTCGGCGCTTTTCTAGGTTCTGCTCCTTCCCCTGGAAACCACCTTCTCAGCCTCACCACAAGAACTCTGGTCATCTCCAAAGCTCACTTCCAACATTTACCAGTTCCAAGGATCTTTGTTTCTGTCACAGCATTTAGCATGGCATATTTCAAGGATTTCATTGTTTCCCACCTGAGCCAGGAGCTTCTTGAGAGCAGGAGCTGTATTTTTTTCTCTATGTCCTCAAACTCTAAGACATAGTAATAAATGTTTCAGGTATTTTTATTAATGTTCTAAATTATTACCTATAGAGCAGGGTTTCTTAAACTATTAATATATTCCAAAGGATATTTACTTTACCAGAAGTTGCACATTATACCCCAAAAGAAAGATTCCATGATCACCCATGTTTGAAAAATGTTACAAAACTGTGTATTACGTGTCTAGTATTTGAGGAATCTTTTGAACTTCACCTAATCCCTATTTGTAAATGCTTATTATGGAGAAGATTAACATCTGAGAAATGAGAGTTTCAGGGATACGGTTGTGAGAGCTTACCAATAAAGGTGGACGTTTCCTCTGGGTGATACACACTTGCCTGATTCTCTTCCATCGATGGTGTCAGAATCTCAGATGACAGTGTCAGGTCCTCCTGATCCATTTGGAACAGGAGCACCTGACATTGTCATCCGAGAATCTGACACGATTGACAGTTCATTTGAAGCCTATCTCTTTTTAATTCGGAGAGCTGGGCTCTGAATTAATAGAGATAGGCTTCAAATGAACTTTCACTGCTTGTTATTAAATAGTCCATGGGTTTTTTCTAGCAATGTTTTTATCTTAGCTGTCAGAAAGCTCTGTATGAAATGTTATTCTCGATTACAATCTTAGGACCTTGGTGCAAATATTTATGTAATTATAATCTTAGGATCCTGGTACATAACTCCTTTAAAAATCTGTATTCTAGTTTCCATATTAATTCTTACTTAAATTTTTTTTATTTTAGGTAAAAGATAAATCAGAAATAAAAATACAATGGCTTATCAATAAAAGCTCTAATAATGACCTGTATTCGTTATTTATAGCATAATGAAAGCCACTAAATTTATTGCATCTTTTATTTATTTATTTTTTTTTTGAGACAGAGTCTCGCCTGTCCACCAGGCTGGAGTGCAGTGGCACCATCTCAGCTCACTGCAACCTCCGCCTCCTGGATTCAAGCACAAGCTATTATCCTGCCTCAGTCTCCTGAGTAGCTGGGACTACAGGCGTGTGCCACCATATCCAGCTAATTTTTTGTATTTTTAGTAGAGAGGGGGTTTCACCATGTTAGCCAGGATGGTCTCAATCTCCTGACCTCGTGATTCGCCCGCCTCGGCCTCCTAAAGTGCTGGGATTACAGGCTTGAGCCACTGTGCCCGGCCAATTACTTGCATGTTTAGGAGGCAATGCTGAAGAGAAAAATATAATGTTGTCTAAAATATGCATAACCTATGCAACTATACCATTATTCACCTTAAAAAGCTTACATGCATTCTAATGGGAAGATGATTATTTATGGTATATATAAAGAAAAATAGTTTATAAAAACACCACCTTCTAAATTCAAAAGTTCAACCCCATTACTAAGGGATTTATGTAAAATATAGACTCTATATTTAAATAAATATAAAATGTCTTGAAAACCTTGAAATATTTACTAAAATATACTATAAAACAGGGCTTGTAAAGTCATCCCTACAGAGGCAAGGGAGATGACCTGAGGAAGTACCTAGGTAGGCACAGTAGCAGAATGGAGACCACACGCCTCACAGAAAGGGGCAACCTCTGCACAGCATCCTAAATGTGAGATAGGCTCAAGGGACACCAGATTGGATTCTTGAAGAGAAGCCTGGAATCCAGATCTGTGCGTGAGTCTCCTAAACCTTCCACGTTGAGACAATTTATAGAGACAAACTAAACACATCTATGGGACACATTTAGACTACAGACCTTGTATTTTTATATTTGCTGTGGATATGTCTCCAAGCGATTATATGTAAAGCAAGTATTTTCATGTAAAATACTTCCTTTCTTTAGTTTCTGAATTTTTTTTCCAAAACAGGCCCAAGAATGCAATAAAAATTGTTACTAAGAGTCATAATACCCACTTCAAGCACTTTTGCAACATGCATGCATTTATAATTTATGTTTAATTTTCCCAGATTGTTCATCAAATGGATAATTAGTTCATAGGACTGCTGCAACTATATTATTAAAATAATTTTAAATTACTATTCTAGTGTCCATATTGTTACCTAATTTTTTTATTTTAGGTAAAATATAAATCAGAAACAAAAATACAATGGCTTATCAATTAAAGCTCTAATAATGACCTACATGTATTCTCCGTATTCTTACGAACTTCATGGTTTTCAGTGTTTAAAACTGCTATCCTGATTATGCCATAGTTCTATGTACTTAACTGACATACTGAGGCAGTCCATAATAGAGCTTCAGCTTTTAAAAAAGGTTTAGAATTTTTTACTATTGGAATTGAGAGAACCCTGCTTTTAATAATGATGTATTGACTTAATCACCAGAATGATAACAAAGAGACTCAAAGTCCTGAAAGAATCAGTCTTTACTTATTGAAAGAGTACCCAATAGTAAATTTCTAACGACCCTATGAATGGCAGTGAATAAGTGATGGTGGCAAAGAAAAGGTGTTATTCTTCAGCTGATAGGTACTGCAAATAATAGTCCTTTTAACTTCCCAACCACACAAGTAGAGACAGATAAAAGTCAGGCTAATATTATTGGAAAGGAGAAATTTAAAGGAAGCAGCACCTATCATCCAACTCTTCTAGAGATTTTTTACATTTTTGAGATATGAGAATTTACATTATACTTATCTATTCAGTGGTTCTTAACCAGCAGCCTATCAGTGTCTCAAGAAATTTGTTGTTGTTGTCGTTGTTGCTAGAGACAGTGTCTTATTCTGTTGCTCTGACTAGAGGCACCACCATGCCCAGCTTCAAGGAAATATTTTAAAACATACATGTCCAGTAATATTTAATAGTAAATATTAGATTTACTATATTAAAATCATCAGGGGATATCCTAGACTTAGAGATTGCTTTTAATTTCCCCAGGTTTCTGTCATGCACAGTTCTAACTGCAGACTAGCACAGTTGATAATCACTTCAGTCTCATCTCTCACCCACATGGCAAATGCCCTTTATCATTTGGGATTTGGCCAAAAAGAGGAAAGAGCAAAAGATAGAGCCGTTCACTGAAAACTCCATTTACTTTTCCTGGGTAGGGGTAGAGAAGAGACTAGTAAACTCAAAATCCAACTTGATTTTACTATTTATAAGCTCCTTATCTCCCACCTGCCCATCAAGACATTGTGGACTTGAGAGTAGAGTTTAGATGCTTATCTAAGTGACTGTTTCTGCCAGAATTGAATAATGTCCATTAATTGTGTGTTCTTCTCTCTGCTGAACTGTGTGCCACTTCATCGCCTCTATTCACTGCCAACCTGGTTTCCTCAGAGTCCTACCAAAACTGATCCCTAGGCAATTTTATAACTCATAAACTCTTGCCTAAAGTAAGAATAATTATCCCCAAAACTGAAGAGATCCTTGTCTCAACATATAAATAGAAAACAAACCACAAAACACACAAAAACCCTCTCCACAGTATTTTCCCTCATTACCTAATTTCCAAATTAGCTTGTGCATTTCTGATTGCTCTCCTTTTCCTCATTTCTCGCTCTTAAGCCTTTCCACAGAGGAATCACTTTCAAATGAAATCACCTTCACATACAATACTTGTCAACAGCAGCAAGAAGGACATTTATTGTGAAATGCTTTAATTTTCTTTGAAATTTAAAATAAAGCCTATTAATAAGGGCAAATTTTACTTTCCTGTGTCACTTCACACTGATTAGAAAAAAAGTAATTTAGTGGAAAACCACTTAACCATTCCCTTTCCCAAATTCAGTTGTCATGAATTATAAATTTATTGTAATTCATTTGTTTTTATAATTATTTACCATAAGCACATGAAGAAAAGTTGTACTCTATAATGCTTCTTTAAAAGTTCCAGTATTTAAAGTAAAATCTTAGACAGTTAAAGCATTTCAAAATATTTTCATTCAAGGAATGTTTGATCTTCCAAATATGAAAAATTGACTCTAACATGTGTCAACGTTAAAATAAATGTATTTCAGATAGTTTGAAAATAACGTTGGTTGATCTATACCTTGCCGCGTTCTTCAATATCTGCACCATAACAAAGAAGTGTTTCTATCATGGATGTATCTTCATTATACACAGCATAGTGTAGAGCAGTCTTTCCAAAGAAATCCATAATATTTGGATCGGCACCATTTTTCAGCAGAATAGTTGCACAAACCTCCTGCCTCAGTTGTACAGCCTGTCAGTATTAGACCAAGAAACATGCAAATACTGAAAAATCAAAGTAAACACTCCATAGGATTTACTAACTAGTTATATAGTGGTATTCCAATGAGATAAGTTCTTTTTATTCTATGTACTTAAACCAAATCCATCTTATGCTCAAAGAGTCGGCTACTATATACCTTGATCAGAGGTGTCCTGTATTCACGGTCGTAGACGTTAAGCTCACATCTTGCGGACACCAGGAGAGATACCATGTCCGGTTGGCCAGTGGCACAGGCCAAATGTAGGGGAGTCCTGCGAGAGTGACAGGACTTTTAAAAACAGGTAACTGTAAGCATTAATTAGCGTGTTATTTCTCTGTCTTCAAAATAAATATTTAATTTTCTTGTGAAGAAAGTACCATCTTTGTTAGCACTTATTACTCATCACATTAATGAAAGAGCAGGCTATTTAACAGAAAAAGCTTGGCTTTTGGATTCAGTTTAATTGGGGCTTAAAATTTACTTAAAGCTCTGTCACTTAGCTATTATCTAGTCTTTCTTAGCTTCAATTTCCTTATCAATAAAATATATAAGAGAATAGTAGCTATCCCACAGAACACTGCAGTGATGCTTACATAAGAATCTACGTACAGCATTTAGAACACTTTCTAACACAAATAACAGCTCAATAATTTTTAGATGTTACTACTTATAAAGACATTCTAATTAAGTAAAATGATACAATCATATCTACATTGAGGTATCTATTAAAGATTAGATGTATCATTGTATTTCAATCATTCTCAGATGCTCATTTTCTCACTATTCTTTTATATAAACTACTATTCTCTTATATATTAATATCTCCTGATATTGGAATACTGTTTACAATTCATTATTTATTACAATTATAACTGGCAACATTTTAAACATTATCTTATTGATATATAAAGTAATGTGGCATCACCCAATCCATGATGCCTTACATTAAGTGGGATACAGTACATAGAATAGGAAGTTCTACTCATGTAATTGGCACCTAAATAAAGTACTGTGGAAAAAGAAGACAAAAATAAAACAACAAATATTTTAAACAAAGTAATTCTTCCTTCAATTTTCAAAAAAATAATCCAAAGAAAACTCAGGATTCAAATGAATAGGTACGGCTCATTTTTTTTCAATACTTATAGAATGTTATATAAATTAGGTATTTGCAATAATTAATAGTAGTATTTGAGACTGCCATAAGTTTTTGAAAGGGCAGTTAAAGGTTATCTTTTACTATTTTCTAGCTTCAGAATTGCTTTTGTTTTTTTTTTTAAAAAAAAAAAAAAGGAATAAAAGATCCAATTGGGATTCAGTCCTAATGCTTCCATTTTAAATCTCTCAGCTTGCTCAGGGTGGGCAGCTAAACATGAAGTTGTTAAGGGTGGAAGAGACCTGAGAGATGGTAGAATGTGTCTGCTACATAATAGGTATTCAGATCATGCTTGATAAATAACTGGATTGAAAGAATGCATACATACAGTTGGGGAGTTTATTATGAAAAAAACTATAAATTAAAGCAGTGCTTTTGGAATAGTGATAATCACTTATATTTGCTCGTTTTCATTTTCATGAGGACACTGGTAAACTAAAATGATTAATTTAAAATTGTTTACATATATGTAATAAAACTATAATAAAAACATATTTACATACTAAAATCTATGCATAATAAAATAAGCACAAATAAAAATATTCCCTTTACCTCTGAAGAGGCTAAAAGTTCATAGAAGATACCAATAAACAAAAAAATAAAAATAAGGCCAGGCACAGTGGCTCACACCTGTAATCCCAGCACTTTGGGAGGCTGAGGTGGAGGGGGTCACCTGAGGTCAGGAATTTGAGACCAGCCTGGCCAACATGGTGAAACCATGTCTCTACTAAAATATACAAAATTAGCCGGGCATGGTGGCGCACACCTGTAATCCCAGCTACTCAGGAGGCTGAGGTGTGAGAATCACTTGAACCTGGGAGGTAGAGGTTGCAGTGAGCTGAGATCGTACCACTGCACTCCAGGCTGGGGAACAAGGCAAGACTCCATCTCAAAAATAAACAAATGAACAAATAAATAAATAATAAAATAAAATAGAAAGTGAAAATTATTTTTTTCTGTGCAAGATTTAAATTTCTTCTTTTCCCAAGGATAATTTCATTAGTAAAAAACATTTATTAGAAGTTTTAAACATACTGATCATTTATACATCACGGATAAGAAAAAACATCACAATACACCTGCCAGAAAAGAAGAAATGTTATATTTTGTACACACATTTGGCTTACAAACACCATAGACTGTTTGTGTATATGTATAATCAAACCAATTTTTCTTCAAAGTACATCTTCACACCTCAACATACATCTTTATCCACTGACACCTGCAAAGGTCCCATATTGTCCCATCCTATGGATGCACTGAAATTTATTGATAAATTTATAAAATTTATAAAATCCATTATAAGGGGTTTTCCAAATACATTGCTATTTTAAGCAGTGCTGAGAAAAACAAATTGCATGTATCTCTATTTCCTAGGATATTTTAGTATAATGGAATTGATGGGTGAAGGGCACATACATTTTTAGAGTGTGATACTTACCAACAAATAGTCTATTTGAAAAGTCATCAGAAATGTAAACTTTAAATAGCAGTGTATGTACTGCTAACTCCTTACCCTCACAAACTTGTGGATAGAAAACAGAATTTCACTCCTTTTTTAACTTAAATACCTTCTCCTCCCAGGAACACTGAATATTTTTTCCTATGTGCATAGGTTGCTTGAATATCTGAAAAAAAAGTGCTTTGCTCTACTTTAAATGAGAGTTCTTGTTGATTTGAAGAATTCGCTGTGAAATGAAAATCACTTTTTTATCTATTATGTATACGTACATACTGTCTTTTGTTAATTTTTTCTTATAAACAGGAGGTTTTAATTTTTTATTTTGCTAAATTGACCCTCAGAATGTGTGCTTGTGATATTTATAGGAATATAAACATGTATCAATATAAGTAGGCATTTGTGTTTTTTCTGTTATCTTTCTTATTTTGTGCATTTAAAATGTTTAATCTACATTCCATAACGAACTTATTTCTGTGACATAAAAATCTAGCCAGTTTTCTCCAAATAGTTAGCAGGCACTTCATTTATGAGTAATTCATCTTTTCCTACTAATATGAAATGTCACCATTATCGAATTCTATTAGATTGGTGCAAACGCAATTGCGGTTTTGCCATTACTTTTAATTGCGGCAAAAACCGCAATTGCTTTTGCACCAACCTAATAAATTCTTACACATATTGGAGTGTTCCTGGATTTTCTAACCTGTTCCATTCACTGATTTGTTGTTTCAGCTGTTAGTAAATAACTTGTGGAAATTAAGCACATTTTCATATCTAGAAAAGCAAGTCTTTCTGACTCCGTTTCAAAAGTTTTCTTAATGCCATCACAATAGTAAAAGACAGCACGAGTAATTTTAACACTCTGATAACTTTATTTGGATTATGTAAAGTTTACAAACACAGAAAGAGCTCAGAGCTTTAGAAAAATGTGTCTTTCTGTTCAAGAACACAGACCACCTTCCCACTTCAAAGTTTCCCTCTAAGGTCCCTCAGTGAAAACCATATTGACATGGGTGTCCATTGATATAAAATAAATATTGGATTTTATCCAAAGAATTTTTAGCCAGGAAGTTGATATATTATGGAAATGATTTCTCTCACTATGCACCTTCCATAATGTATGTAACATTATGCTTTAACACGTGCACATTAAGAATGAAACGCTGTACATGCTGAATTTTATTAGTGAAATCACTTTAAAATGATTTATAAAGAAGCAGCATGGTGAGTGATTGGAAATCAACTGAAGTTTTGTTTTTGTTTTGCTGCTCATGAAAATGGCCTGGGTGCTCGCCCCAGCCAAGGTTTCCACATCCCAGGTGCGGCTGAGCCTGCCAGGGAAAGTCCAGCCTCTTCGGTGACAGGACTCTCCCGCCTCACCTCTGCACTCCTTTCCCCCATCCCATTCACCCCCACACCTCACCCCCACCTCCAGTCCTCTATCCCATTGAACCCTCACGCCATCTCCCCACCCCACACCGTCCACGCCCCTGACCCCCAAGCCTTCATTCCATCCAAGCCCATTCACACCCCCACACCAAGCACCCCCTACTCCCCAATCCCATCCCCCAACTCACTCCACATCCCGCCATCTCATATACCCCCACTCCCCAGGCCCCGCTCCACTCACTCCCACCCCAGCCAGGCACCCCCTAGGCCCCGTCCATACTCCGAGCCCCGGCCCATCCGCCCCGCAGCCCTCAGCCTGGAAGCGGGTACTTCTCCCACGTCCGCAGGCCTCCTCCCGCAGCCCCGGCTCCCAGCCCCCATTACCTTTCCTTCTTGTCTCTCTTATTGACGTCACTTCTCGTGAGCAGAAGGTACTTCAGTTTCTCCAGCCTACCATAGCAGATAGCTCTGTGGATCCTTCTCAGATGAGACAATTTGATGCGGTATTCGGGAAATGAGAAGCCATCTAAGCGCAAGCGCTCCTTGAGGGTGGGCCACCTCTCCGGCTTGTAGTCGTCGAACATCTTTAGGCCACTCCTTGGCGGCAACTCGTAGCCTGGGAACGACTTTCGGTTAAGGTCACCGGCTTCAGTCACATTTCATCTCGCCTTCGGGGATCGCCGCCTCCGAAGCGCAACAACAAGCAATGCAGTCAGTCCACGGACTTCAGCACACTCAGCGCCTCCCGCCTCTCAGCAGAAACGCCCAACAGAACGGTTAGGACCAGCGAGCACGCGCACCTTAGCCGGCCCCGCCCTACAGGCCCGAGGCAGAGTAACCGCCCTAGCAGCTCTCGCGGAGCCACGTGCAGGCGGAGGTTGCTGCGGAAGCGCCGCGGGCTGGCGGGGCTCCCTGGAGCGCGAGGCGCGCCCTGCCCCAGGGCCTGACTGTCGCCCGCGCCCTCTTCTCCTCTTCCACATGCTCCCGACGCGTGGGACCCCCCGCGCTGGGCCCCCTGCAGCCCAGGGATAGGGTCGAGTGGCGCCTCTCCGCCTGGTGCCGCCGTCGGGCCCACAGCCTGACTTCGCTACTGCGTCGCCCCCTGGGTCCGCGCTGATGGGCACGAGGCGGGAGGACGGGATCCGGGGTTGCCACCGCTGCAGCCAGCGCACCACTTGCAGGTGGCAGCTGCAGCTCGGGCTCCAGCGGGGGCTGGCGGGGCTCCCCTGGGATGGCCTCCTGGTCCCTGAGTGCGCCGTCCATCCGGCCGGAGGGTGCGCGCCTCCTGCACCCTAGGCTGAAGCCCATGCCTTGCTCTCCTGCCGCCTACTGCCTGAC